CACACATATAAAGAGTAAAACAATCATGAATAAAAAAAGCAACAGAGAGAGAGGGGGGGGAGGGAAGGAGGGAGAGGGAGAGACTCCAATTACACCAATCAGGGGATCTGGGAATGCAGCATTCCCTCCCACCCTCAGTGATATTGCTCTATGCAGAACTGGAACTTATCTAATTGCTGCTTTAAGGATAAACATGTACTTACAAAGTTCTGATCTAATAAATTATCCTATCAATATTCTAATAAATCATAAAACAATTGCAGTATATAATGGCATTACTAAAAGGTGTCAAGCACCCTTCAGTCACATGTAAAAATGAGTAACAAGTTACATTAGAATACCTAGTAAACATAAAGTTGAAAAGTGATTAAATTTACAGAAAATAGCTACAAAAAACTATTCATTAGATAACAATATTTTAAAATATAAATATTAGAAGATTACAGCACCTTAATATTTGGAGCAAATTACCCCTATTAAAATAAGGAAGGAAGGAAGGAAGGAAGGAAGGAAGGAACAAAAGAAAGAGAAAGAAAGAAAGAAAGAAAGAAAGAAAGAAAGAAAGAAAAAGAAAGAAAAAAAGAAAAGAAATCAGAGTAAAATTTAAATGCTGTCATCTTAATTCAGAAGTCCTGCTATATATCATAAGGATAATTTCAAGGTAAACATGGATATTTAGATTGCAACCTGACTTACAAATCACAACTTTTCACTTGTGTGTTGTCTCCTTAATTATTCATTAAGACAAATTCAAAGATTTGTGATAGACAACTATTAGTCACAGTGTCTTAGGGTTCAGGAAATCTTACGGTGTGAGGCAGAAACTTCATTTCACCATTTATTCCCCTGATGACCTGATTTTTAAGAAATCTGATGCTTTATAAAGAGCTAGCTTATACTAAAATTTTACTCTAATGTGATAATTAGCAACAACAACAAAAGGCATTACAGTGTTTGGGTTGTTGGCTATGATAGAGCAAACCTTAATTTTTCTGAATCTCTCTCTGGCTGCAGACATCAAATAAAATTGGAATATTTTTTAGAGTGAGCTGGACCTTTTCCTGAGTTGTTCTGGGACAAACCTCTAAAGGAGGTATTGAGTAGTTCATAATAAATACACAAATCTTGCCTTTGTCAGTGTACTCTTTTCCAATAATAGGAAGCTGCTTTCTCTTAGATCAGTCTATTTTTCACTGAGCTCTACATTTTTTTTTCTGACTGGCAGTGGTTCTCAGACCAAAGCCTTTCTTATCCCCTGTTCCCCACCCAACACAGGTCAGAGATCAACTCTGACTTTCTGCATGCAAAGCATGTACACTCCTGTAGTCCCAGAAGGAGAGCAATGCTGCTATTAGGCATTACTCAACTTTAAATTTGTGTAGACAGTCTCCTTGCAAAGGCAAGTAGCACACTCCACCTAGTGTGTATGTATTTGCATGCATGAAGCCCAATGAAAAAGGGAAATTGAGGCTGACATATTATTTCAAGTGGCAATGAAGTGATAAACTCCCCAGAAGGTAGAAGGTAGTTTTAGTCTGCAGCAGGGGAAATCATCTTTTCCCTAAGTAAAAACATTGTTTGTCATATGAAGTATCACAATGGAGAAAAGATTGGGTCTGACTGACTCCACCATCTTGGATTGCTAGACACAGGCTTTTACAACCACTAACATTATTTCTCATTTTATTTTCAAATAAAATTAGATCAATAACAATGCAATAGCTACTAAGAGCTAAGGCTTGTTGATGTAACAACAAAGAATTATTACCTAACTTGTCTATGGCTTTCTAGGGGGTCTTGTTATATTTTTGTTCTAAAATGTCCCAATGCTGAATGAGAACAAGTGTGCCTCTAATGTCTAATCTAGCAACCAATCAGATGTCTTTTACCCATGAAATAATTCATTTAATTGGTAATGAAACCAATGAGACAGCCAAATCAAGGCAGCATAAAAAAAAACCTGTAACAAGCAATTAAAATTATTTATTTATGTATTCAATTTCTTTAGCTGCCCATCTCAATGATGCTGGGTAGCTTACAGTTCCAAAAGTATAAAATATTTAAAACAATAAAACATTTTAAAAACAATAAAAAATACTTATTTAAGGATACCAAAGCTCCATAAATATATCTAGTTAATTAAAGTACAATTAGAGAGAGTAAAGATTTTAAAGACAAATCAGCAGGCCATATCAGATAGCCACCTATTAAATGTCAATCAAAACTATTCTGGCTTTTATATTCTGCCCAAACTGAAGTTTCAGAATAAACTTCAGAAATATGTGTCTTATTGTATATTATATACAATATTTATTGTATATTATAAATAATTGATCTTCCTTCCTTCCATTTCTATAGCTGCCCATCTCAGACAGTGACTCTTACAATTGAAGAAAATACACTGCTCAAAAAAATAAAGGGAACACAAAAATAAGACATCCTAGATCTGAATGAATGAAATATTCTTATTAAATACTTTGTTCATTACATAGTTGAATGTGCTGACAACAAAATCACACAAAAATTATCAATGGAAATCAAATTTAGTAACCCATGGAGGTCTGGATTTGGAGTTACACTCAAAATTAAAGTGGAAAAAAACACTACAGGCTGATCCAACTTTGAGGTAATGTCCTTAAAACAAGTCAAATGAGGTTCAGTAGTGTGTGTGTGGCCTCCGCGTGCCTGTATGACCTCCTTACAATGCCTGGGCATGCTCCTGATGAGGTGGCGGATGGTCTCCTGAGGAATCTCCTCCCAAACCTGGACTAAAGCATCCCCCAACTCCTGGACAGTCTGGGGTGGAACGTGGCGCTGGTGGATGGAGCAAGACATGATGTTCCAGATGTGCTCAATTGGATTCAGGTCTGGGGAATGGATGGGCAGTCCATAGCATCAATGCCTTCGTCTTGCAGGAACTGCTAACACACTCCAGCCACATGAGGTCTAGCATTGTCGTGCATTAGGAGGAACCCAGGACCAACCACACCAGCATATGATCTCACAAGGGGTCTGAGGATCTCATCTCGGTACCTAATGGCAGTCAGGCTACCTCTGGTGAGCACATGGAGGGCTGTGAGACCCCCTAAAGAAATGCCACCCCACACCATTACTGACCCACTGCCAAACCAGTCATGCTGGAGGATGTTGCAGGCAGCAGAATGTTCTCCACAGTGTCTCCAGACCCTGTCACGTCTGTCACATGCTCAGTGTGAACCTGCTTTTATCTGTGAAGAGCACAGGGCACCAGTGGCAAATTTGCCAATCTTGATGTTCTCTTGATGTGCCAAACGTCCTGCAGTGTTGGGCTGTAAGCATAACCCACACCTGTGGATGTCAGGCCCTCATACCACCCTCATGGAGTCTGTTTCTGACCGTTTGAGCAGACACATGCACATTTGTGGCCCTCTGGAGGTCATTTTGCAGGGCTCTGGCAGTGCTCCTCCTGTCCCTCCTTGCATAAAGGCAGAGGTAGCGGTCCTGATGCTGGGTTCTTGCCCTCCTACGGCCTCCTCCACGTCTCCTGATGTACTGGCCTGTCTCCTGGTAGTGCCTCCATGCTCTGGACACTACGCTGACAGACACAGCAAACCTTCTTGCCACAGCTCGCATTGATGTGCCATCCTGGATGAGCTGCACTACCTGAGCCACTTGTGTGGGTTGTAGACTCCGTCTCATGCTACCACTACAGTGAAAGCACTGCCAGCATTCAAAAGCGACCAAACCATCAGCCAGAAAGCATAGGAACTAAGAAGTGGTCTGTGGTCACCACCTGCAGAGCCACTCCTTTATTGGGGATGTCTTGCTAACTGCCTATGCTTTCTACCTGTTGTCCATTCCATTTGCACAACAGCATGTGAAATTAATTGTCAATCAGTGTTGCTACCTAAGTGGACAGTTTGATTTCACAGAAATGTGATTGACTTGGAGTTACATTGTGTTGTTTAACTGTTCCCTTTATTTTTTTGAGCAGTGTATATTACAATTAAAATACTAATAGCATTTCAAAGCAATAAAAACATCCAAATTAAATATACTGAGCACATATTACCAGAGCCCAGATAGTTTGTTGCTCCTCAACCTTGCTCTGCAACAGACAACAAGGGATACCAACAGTATTGCCAGGGGTGTGCTGGTAAATGTATAACCTGCTCTGCTGTCTCCATAGCCCCTGCTGTTCCTTGCTGCAAGCCACCAGGCAATCAGCATACTAAATGTCACACCTCAGCTCTGTTCAATTGGCTTGCAAACTCCACAAAATTTAATAATCACTTCTTGTAAACTGCCTCTAGCACACCACTATATGTTACTGCATCTTTGATTGGGAATATATAATTAATGACATATACTGATAGAGATTCTGCACAAATGGTTTTACTCCTTTTATATAATCAGGTGTTCAGTTTACTGATCACATGCAGGATAAACTTTTGAAGCAAATTTTTGAGCTTCTATTCATTAAAATTAGGGTGAAGGCTTACAAGTGCATCCG